AAGAGAAAAGAGAAAGGGAGACAGAAAAGGAGACAGTTGTTGCTATGCGTAAGCAATTAAATAAAAATAAAGGAGACAGAAAAATAAAAAATATATTTTTTTGTTTTTTCTTTTTTTCTCGTTTTTTTTTTCTTTGTCTTTTCTCCTTATGGAGATAAACAAAAGAAACCCACAAACCCTAAACCCTAAACCCTAAACCCTAAACCCTAAACCCTAAACCCTAGGTACAATGCTGCGGTGAGGAGACAGCAGAAGTACCCCTCTGCATAGCTAGCTCTAAGCCGGCGCCTATAAAACAAAAACAAAAAAAAATAAAATAAAATAAAATAAAATAAAATAAAATAAAATAAAATAAAATTAAATTAAATTAAAAAGAGAAATAATAGAACAAATAATAAAACAAAACAAATGATGAAATAAAAAAGAAAGAGATAGACAGTAAAAGAAAAACACAAAAAGGAGACAAAAAAAGAAACACACAAACCAGACAGCAACAAACAAACAAACAAATAAATAAATAAATAGATAAATGAATAAATATATAAATAAATAAACATAAAAAATAAATAAATAAATAGATAAATAAATAAATAAATAAAAAATAAAAAAATAAATAAATAAATAAATAAATAAATAAAATAAATAAACGGAGAATTTTCATCATCTCAACGAGAAGAGATATGAGCCTGCTGCGAAATAAAAAATAAACACAAACCCTAAACCCTAAACCCTAAGCACTAAACCCTAAACCCTAAACCCTAAACCCTAAACCCTAAACCCTAGACTTACACGAGTCCTCCAGCAACCGCAATATTTTTTCTTCTGTCTGCTCGCGTTTTCTCCTTATCTGATTCAAATCTTCTTTTGTTTGTTGTCTTATAGAAGAAACCATCCTATACACACAAATCTAGGGTTTACGAGGGTTTAGGGTTTAGGGTTTAGGGTTTCAGGGTAGTCCTTCTGTTTAGGGTTTAGGGTTTAGGGTTGTGCACGTGGTTAGGGTTTAGGGTTTATGCTTCTGGTTAGCGTTTAGGGTTTGCGCTTCTGGTTAGGGTTTAGGGTTTAGGGTTTGTTCTTGTGGTTAGGGTTTAGGGTTTAGGGTTTGTGTTGTTTGTGCTAGGGTTTAGGGTTTAGGGTTTAGGGTTTAGGGTT